AAAATTAGCTGTTCCATTGCGGAGGAAGGAGATAGAAAAAGGGGAAAATAATCACAGATAAAAAAGCATTTCTATCAACGCTATATGCGGTCGCCCTTTCAGTGATTGAATGACTCCCACCCCCATCCTCTCCTCTCTCCCATCCCCCCCCTCCTATCCCTCAATGGGGTTCTCCATGAAGACGTACACAATGGGTGGCTTCCCTCGCGATGCTTTTACATACCGGAGAGGAACAGCTGAAACCCAAAAAAGAGGTTCCACCTTCTACAAAATCGAATGTATGGGAGTTGGGAAACAGAGGATAAGACTCAATTTTCTAAGCATAAAATCTTATTTTTTACAGTTACTTCTACTGGCAACTTGACTACTGGAAGCGACGAGGAATCCCCAGCCCACCGGGAACTATTTTTCTAGGCAACATGTATGACCTAAATGATATGAACAAGCCAGTTGCATGTGTATTACGAGAGTGGACCAAGGTGATTTCCATCCATTCTTTACTGATAACATTTCTGTGAGCTTATCGATACACTATCACTCTACAGACTTATGGCAGTGTCTACGGCATCCAAGAGGGTCTCAGAAGAACGTTAGTTGTGAGCGATGTTGGAATGATTCGCGACTTGTTCATCAAGCAGTATGACTACTTTCATGGCCGGAAGGTAAGTGTTCTTAACGAGCTACCATACCAGTTCGCCTCCACCACCTCCAAGAAATTCCAAACACCGTTTAGACTTCGCGATGGTGCGCTGTAACCCGTCGTAACATTTGCAATACGCTCCCGTCTGCAGTAGACGCTGATGCTGCCACACACAAGAATCGATAGGCCGCTTGCGTTTTGAGAGAACATACGATATAGGAGGGCAGGCGCTGCCCTCTTACAGTCTGATACTGCCCGTTCTTCAAGCCCAAGCAGCCAGAGCCGATCGATAACAGACTGTGTGACTAGGACTGTGTCCCTCCCTGTTCTTCCATACTCTCTCGAAACACATGCTGCCGGGCAGTCCGATTCTCTAGGATTGGAGCGCTGTTGCAGTTGTAGCGCATGGACAACGTTACAGCGCGTCATCGCAAAGTCTGACCGCTTCCTTACGAAGTCGCAATATATCGAACCAAACACCAATGACCAGAAAATCGCGGGACACTCTCTCTTTGGACCATTTCCTTCCCTACTTTCAATTTTGTTCAGTGAGGAAACATTCGGAGCTGACAACTCGTGAGGGGAGGAATTCTGCCCTACCTAGGAAAAAAAGAGTTTCATCAGTGTAGATCAACCAGTGCCCGTGCAAAAAAGGTTCTCATCGAGATACACTCCTTATCCCTGAGCCAGAGTAGGCGTGGCATTTGAACATGGCACGGAACTGGTTACTCGTGGAATATTCCAGTCTGGGACAACTGTCATCTTGTTCTGTGTTGGACAGAGACACGACAACAATTGTGTCAAGATGAAAATATCTCACCAGAAGCATAGACACCTTCAGGTTAAGTTGAAGCATGCAGCCACGAACAGACTTAAGTTGAAGCATGCAGTCACGTCTACCTGATCTCAGGGATTCCCAGTAGGTTCTCGTTCCCACTCCCGAAGGATTCTGTTAGAATCGCATGCTGGATGAAAAATCAAAGCCGATCACATGAAATGTCAACTCCAGATTGGTGGGCATGGCAGGAACCACGAACCATTATGAAAATGCTCCATGAAAAATGAATGGATAAAAGGGATGACAAACGATAGTACGTTTGAGAGCGAACCTGCCCCAATCTTCTCCGCGCGTGCTTTTCTAGGATGTTATTTACAAATCACAACGCGACTAACAAGCGAGGTCGTTCAGGTCGTGGTAAGCTTTTTAAAAACGGTTTGTTGCATGATTTAGGGGTCCATGCAAGGATCACACAGATGGCGATATACATTTTTGCTAAACTCGGTACTGGAATGCGTAAAACGGGTCGAAAAAAGTTAGAAAAGAATGGGCGATTTGAGCCACCTTATTCAGCTCCGTTCTAGCTGTATCGTTGAGAGTGAATAGTTTATAAGGTGACCTTTAGAAGTAGGCATTGAAAATACAACGCAGGAAGAGCGTAAAAATCCAACGTTCATTAAGGGCGTATGGTGTAGTGGATAGTGCGACGGACTCTCAATCTACAGTGCCAGGTAAGTACTTGGATTCTGACCTTCTTCTGCGTTGTTTTTCATGTCTACTCAAAGTTCACCTCATAAACTATACACTCTCAACGATACAGCTAGAACGGAGCTGAATAAGGTGGTTCAAATCGCCCATTCTTTTCGAATTTTTTTCGACCCTTTTTTGGCATTCCCAATACCGTTTAGCAAAAATGAACCCCATCTGTGTGGTCCTTGCATGGACCCCTACATCATGCAACAAACCGTTTTTAAAAGCTCACCACGACCTGAACGACCTCCCTTGTAAGCGGCGCGGTCGCGTTACGGCGTCAGCGGAGCGAGCCAGCGGTCAGTGGAATTATGCTCTAGGATAGACGGGGATTCTAGCGTGTTCTCCTCTATGTAAAAAAAGACACTCGTTTTCTGTTCACCTATAAGTTGTGTGTGTACATTTAGCTAGGCCAACTAGGCAGACTCACCTC